TTTTTTGCTGATTATGGGGTTTGAAATCAGGGCCTGGGCACTGTCCCCCAGCTCTTCATCTGTACACCAGTGCTCTACCACCTGAGTCTCAGCCCCACTTCCAATTTTTTCTGCTTATGTGGTGCTGAGGAATGGAACCGAGGGCCTCATGCATGCAAGGCAAGTGCTCTACCGTTGAGCCACTTTCCCAGCCCAGGAGGCGTGATTCCTTAAAGCAGAAAGACTTTGAAGCTTGGCCCTGTTGGTAGTGACAGTGGCTCCTGGCCCATGTGTGGCTCCTCTCTTCTCCTCACCGCCCTGGTGCTGACACTGGCCTAAGCATGCTCCTGGAGCCCCCTCACATGGGCGTGTGCGCGCGCGTGCACACACACACGCTCCCTCCCTCCCTCCCCCTTTCCTCCTCTCTCTCCCCCTCCTCTTCTCTCTCTCCTCTCCTCTCCCCCTCTCCTCTCCTCTTTCCTCTCATCTCTCTCCTCTTTCCCTCCCCCCTCCCCTTTTCCTCTCCCCCTCCTCTCTTCTCTCTCCCCCTCTCCTCTCCTCTCCTCTCCCCTCTCGTCTCCTCTCCTCTTTCTCCCTCCCCCCCCCCCAGCTGCAGTGCTGCAGAGGGCAAAGCAGGTGAGGCAGTATGCAGCTGTCAGTGCTTGGCCATTGCAGAAGCGCAACGTACGAAGCAGATTACAGGTTAACATGTTTAATGAACGTGATTGTTACAGACCAAAAAAGTGCCGTGGAGAATTGTTAAGTTCCATCAGGCCATGCAATAAATAAATGGATGGTTTTTCTCCTTCTGAATTAATGCAGGTTCCCATTCTGTATTTAATTAGGCACGAAATGGTGCCTGTGACTCAGATTTCAGTGAAGAACTTCATCTCACTTTAAAGATTTTTAAGTAGGAAATTCAATTAGCATTATTAAAAAAACGTGGAATTTCACTGGACAGAGCTTCTCAAGCGTTGGGGTGGCTCAGCGGCTTGGCAGGCTCCCCGCAGTCAGAGCCTTTCTCCCTCAAAAGAGCATGCTTCCTGCCCGCACTGGGCCTCCTGCTCATGGTCCTGGGGAAACGTGCCCCTGGCCCACCATATGTGTGTCTTATATTTAACAAAGACGGTCTGAAAGTAAGAAGTCTAGTTTTGTCTCTTTTCAGCTGTGTTATCTGTGGTTCATGCGTGTGAGCGTGCATTGAGATGCAAACACATGACTGACGGTCCAGTCCCAGGGCTGCGCTCAGTCCTGCGCTCCTGGGCTTTGCTTTGTCACTCAAGGCTGGCAGTGCACTGTTTAAGCACACCTCCACTTCTGGTTTTTGGCTGGCTAATTGAAGATAGGAGCGTTTGGATTTGTCTGCCCAGCTGGCTTCAAACCATAATACTCAGATCTCAGCCCTGTGAGTACCTAGATGAAATTTTAACTTTTTTTATGTGTTCATGCTGTCCAGGGGCTCGAACTCAGGTCTTAGTGCTGTCTCTAAGCTTTTTTTGCTCAAGGCTACTGCTCTACTTCTGCCTCTGGGTGATTTCTTGGAGATAAGAGTCTCAAGGACTTTTCCGCCTGGTCTGGCTTTGCACTGTGGTCCCCCTGAGTGGCTAGGATTACAGGTGAGAGTGACAAGCTCAGGCTTAGGAAGTTTTTCTGTTTGTTGGTTGATTTGGGGGGCTTTGTACTTGCAAGCCAAATGAGCCACACCCATAGCCCTTTGATTGGTTGTTTTTGTTTTACATTTATGCATTTTTGTTTGTTTTTGGGGGGGTTGTAGGGCTTTAACTCTAGGCCTGGCGCTGTCTCTCAGCTCTTCAGCTCAGAGCAAGCACTCTACCACTTGAGCCACAGCGCCACTTCCGGCTTTCTGGTAGTTTATTGGAGATAAGAGTCTCATGGAAAAATAAAATAAAACAGAATTTAAAAAAAAAAAAGAGTCAGCCGGGCGCTGGTGGCTCACACCTGTAATCCTAGCTACTCAGGAGGCTCAGATCTGAGGATCGTGGTTCAAAGCCAGCCCGGGCAGGAATAAACCACCAGAAAACCGGAAGTGGTTCTGTAGCTCAAGTGGTAGAGCGCTCGCCTTGAGCTGAAGAGCTGAGGGACAGCGCCCAGGCCCAGAGTTCAAGCCCCACGACCTACAAAAAAAAAAGTCTCATGGAGGGGCTGGGAAGGTGGCTCAGTGGTAGAGCACTTGCCTTGCATGCATGAGGCCCTGGGTTCAGTTCCTCAGCACCACATCAGCAGATAAAGCTGGAAGGGGCGCTGTGGCTCAAGTGGTAGAGCGCTCACCTTGAGCTGAAAAGCTGAGGGACAGCGCCCAGGCCCAGAGTTCAGGCCCCGTGACCGACAAAAAAAAAAGTCTCATGGACTTTGTGGCTCAAGCTGGCTTTGAACCTCGATCTCAGCCTCCTGAGATGCTACAATTATAGGTGTGAGCCACCAGCACCCAGCTATTGTATGCATTTTTATTGGTAATATAAAGGGTATGGACAAGAGGGGCTAGTTTCATAAGTCAGCAATAACAGTGTCACTCCTTCTTCCCTCACCGGTCCACAGTAAGGTGTAGAGTTCATTTTCAACATGGTGTCTAGTGAGTCCCACTGCTGCGTTTGCTCACCCTCTGTCCCCCCATTTCTGCACCCTCCCCTCCTGCAGTAGTGCCGAAGGGTCCGGGGTGAGGCTGTGAGTACCGTGGATCTTGGTCAGTGTCGCCTCCATCCTCCTGCATCCGATGCACGTGGCTCAGTTTCGAGCTACGCTCTTCGAGCTGCCCGGGCTGGCCTCGGCGTTGACCCTCCCACCCCTGCGTCCTGGGCAGTGGAGCGGTCCTGCGCCACCACACAGATGAAAGCAGTTTGTTTTCGGATGAAAAGGGCACATTTATGCCCGCCGTCCATCTTGGGTAGACTCTCCCCACGCGCTTGGCAAACATTTTTATTTCTACAGTCAGTCTGATTCCTCTCTGCTCATGTGTTAGTTTTCAGAATAAGATACCACTGGGTCTTGAACTCAGGGCTTGGGTGCTGTCCCTGAGCTTTTGGGCTCGAAGCTAGTGCTTACCACATTGAGCTACAGGGCTTTTTCGGGCTTTTTAAGAGTCTCATGGACTTTTCTGCCCTGTGTGTTGGCTTTGAACTGAGATCCTCAGATCTCAGCCTCCTTAGATCTCAGCTAAGATTACAGGTGTGAGCCACCAGTGCCCAGCTTTCGTGTCAGTTTCTTGAGTATAAGATACAAAACCCTTCCAAGGCCCTAATCATGGAGAGTACTGATTGGCATGGACTGAAGTCAGTCCTCTTGCTTGCCGCAGCCCGAGTGTGGCAAATCAGAGCCAGAGTGGCCGTGGGAAGCGGAGTGTGGCGGCCTCATGGTGCAGGGAGAGGGCAGTGTGGTGAACTTGCCGCCAGACAGTAACCGCGCCCTGCGCCCTGCCTTGCAGGAGCTGTACCCTGCCTTCTGCATTCACAACGGAGGCTCGGACCTGGAGCGGCTCCCCACAGCCAGCACCTGCATGAACCTGCTCAAGCTCCCGGAGTTCCACGACGCGTCCCTTCTGCGAAGCAAGCTGCTCTACGCCATCGAGTGTGCTGCCGGCTTCGAGCTGAGCTGAGCTGAGCTGGCCGGGCCGGGCCGGGCTGAGCTGGAGCGAGCCTGGGCTGACCCCCGCAGCCAGCACTGCCAGACCCTGGAGTGGGGTGCCCAGGCCGGGCCGTGCTCTCCTGCGTCTCCCTCTGGCATTTCTCCCCTCCATTTTTAGATCCTTTTTATTACAACATGGCCACTGAACTGGTTGGACATTGCTTTTCAGATAACTTGAAATCTCCATTGTTATGTGCCATGTGGCTTCGTAATTTTGCCAAGAAGAGCACAGTTTTTAGACTAGAGGCAACTCAGTGAAATGAACCAAAGATGACACTTTGGCCTTGCCGACCTTTAGCATGCGTCCTGAGCTGCCGCCGGGCCCGGGCCCCGCGGACGTCTGTGGTCTGCAGAGAGGGAGAGGGGGCTGTGGAGCGAAGCCGCAGCACCACGGAGCCGCCCGCGGCCACCGCTTCCGTGTGGTTGAGTGTTTACAAGCCTAATTGTCACAACTAAAGGCATGATTTCCTGCTGCCTTTTCCCAAAGTGGTTAGGTTTGGAAAATAGAAACAATGGTATTATTTTTATTTTATTTGTGCTTTTCAAGCCATTCTCCCCCAGGCGGGACTCGCATGCTCGTGGTTACCCCTGACCCGCGCCGTGCGGCCAGTCGGGCGGTTGGTGTGTGGCTGTGCGGTGGGTTCTCTGCTGTTCCTGTCTGCTGTGGGCTTGGCAAGCTGTCGAGGAGGAGGAGGAGCACGCTCCCCAGGCCAGTGTGTCACCTGCACCAAGGGACGGGTGAGGAGCGTGGGAACTGCAGCTTCTATTAAAGCCGTTTGAACCAAAGTGGTGGGCTGCGTCTCTCCGTGACCCCCGGCCCCGGCCCGGCCACGCCGCCACCAGCCTGGGCGTCCTGGGGACCGTCCAGCTCGGCACCCTCTGCTGCTGCTTGGCACATGCGGGCTTCCCCAGCACGTGTCAGAGAAGATCCGGGTGGGTCTCATGTCGGCACTTTATCAGAGCCTGGGAGCGCTTGCCAGGGACCGTGTCCTCCGCCAGCGGAGTCGCGTGGGGCGAGCCGCAGCCCCGCACACGCAGGTGCATGCGAGCCGGCGAGCCGTCGGGGCCTGGCGTGGCGGAGCTGGCGGACCGCAGCTAGCAATATACTTTTAAATGTGGGAAAACTGAATGACACTTTGAAGATAATGACCATTATCAAAACAAAATGTATAATTTCTTAATTTGAGTAATAAATTAAGTGTTTAAATGCTATTCGTAGTCTTCATATACAGAGATAGCATTTCTTGGATTTTCTTTTTTCTTTGGGGTTGATTACCTTGAATGTTCTATGTCTTCGTAGGTTTGTTTTTGTATCTCCCACTGAGCTGCCTTCCCAGCCCTGTTTCTGTATCTTACAAGTGTTTTTAAATGGAGACACAAAAGACAAACTTGGAATTATCCTTGCTTGTTCTTCCCCTCAGCTCTCCTAGCTTCTTTACTTAGATGTGTGTGCTAATGGCTGAATGCTTGTATTTAACTTTCCCCGAAGACCACGTAGCCCAGGTCAGTCTGGCGGTTTATTCCGTAGTGGAGCACTGCCAGCAGCCGCACCGCGGCCCCAGCCTGGTGCAGCCGGCGCCTGGTCTTGGCATTCCCCGTCAGCGACAGCGCCCAGACCTCCCTGTGGAGAAGTCTCCCTGCTCTGGGCCTGGGCGCTGGCCCTCAGCCCTTCAGCTCCTCAAGGCGAGCGTGCTACCACTTGAGTCACAGCGCCACTTCCAGCTTTTTCTGCCTATGTGTTGCTGAGGAATCGAACCCATGGCCTCATGCATGCTAGGCAAGCGCTCTACCACTGAGCCACCTTCCCAGCCCACCCTTGCCTTTCTCGGTCGTGCTTGTTTTGGTGGCAGGCTGGTGCTCGGTCCTCACGGCCGCCACTGCTCGGAGACGGAAGCTCTCCAGTGCTCTGGGGCTCGCAGAGCTGCTGCTGGGCAGCCACGGCGCACCCCAGCCGGGAGCTTCCACACAGTGCTCCCGCGCAGGCCCACCGCGCCGGCCGCGTCAGCCCAGGTGCGGCGCTGCTGATAACCCTGGAGGGTCAACACCCTGGTCAGAAACCTGAGGAGATGGTGGTGAGCTTGGATTGATAGGCTGTGCTTCAAAGAGAAATGAAGATGGGGCTGGGAAGGTGGCTCAGTGGTAGAGCGCTTGCCTTGCATACATGAGGCCCTGGGTTCAATTCCTCAGCACCACATAAGCAGAAAAAGCCGGAAGTGGGGCTGAGGCTCAAGTGGTAGAGCGCTCACCTTGAGCTGAAAAGCTGAGGGACAGCGCCCAGGCCCCAGCCCCACACAGGGCGGCGCTGCTGGGAGAGCCTGGCTGGCCTCCAGTCTCGGCTGCTGAGTGGGAGAAGCTGCGGGCCTGTGCCCTGCCTGAGGAGGCCTGTGCCGCAGGAGCCCCTGGAGGAAAGCGCTGCGCGCCCCCTGCCCCGCAGCCCCGCGCCTGACGCTCTGCCCGCAGCCAGGCTGGCTCGGGGTCCGGCCAGATGAGAGCCACCTGCCACCTGGGGCTGTGCGCCGCTGTCCGGGGAGTCTCGGGTAAGTGAGCTTGTTCCGTGCCGCGCGGCCTTCCTCTGTCTCTCCTGGGCAGGCCGGGCTACCCAGACAGAAAACAGCCCCACAGTGGCCCGATTGGTACGCCTGGTATAGCCTCCACGTCTCCAAATGACAAAAGCCCTTCACTGCTGATCAGAAATTAGAAACAGCTGGTTTTGTAGCTCAATGGTAGAGTGCTGTCCTGGCATTTCTGAGAACCTAGATTTGGGTTTTGTACTGCAGAAAGGGGGAGAAGCTAAGCAAAGCAGGCCTGTTGCCTCGGCCCTGGCACTTGCCCTCCCCACCCCTGCCCCCATGAAGGCGGATGGGGAGGGGATGCTGCAGGCTCCTGGGGTTGGGGGAAAGGAGTCGCGTTGTCTCCGGTGCAGAGGGAAGCAGCCATCATCACTGAGATAGGAGCATTGCATTCAAAGCCAGCTCAGGCAGGAAAGTCTGAAATACGTACCTCCATTTAACCACAGAAGGGCTGACGTAGAGCTCTGGCTCAGATGGGCCTCCTAACTAGCCCTGGACACAAAGCTCAGAGACAGCACCAGGCAGTTGGTTCAGCCCTAGCACTGACACCCTCAAAGATGCCACTCTAGGATGAATCGTGTGCCTGCGGTCCCAGCTGCTCAAGAGGCTGGGAGGGGGAAGATCTCTTGGGTGCAGAAGTTCAAGGTCAGCCTGGGCTTCGCAGCCAGGCTCCTACCTCAAATCAAACAGCCCCACAGCTGCTGTGTCCCCAACACCTCCCTCTTCGCTCATCTGCATCTGCATAACCAGTTCCCCTAGGTAGACTGTGCGGTTTGCCAGGTGTGTTTGCCCTCTTCAGTACTGGGGAGAGGTGAACGTTGCTGAGTATCCAGAACCTACTATGATACCTAGCACACAGTAGGTCGGCCACAATGACAAAACGTACCCCTGACCCACCGGGAATCCTCCACGTCTGGCCTGGGAGTGGGCGCCCCCTACCGGGTTGGGTGAGGATCTACAGCCTGGCCTGCCCAGCTCCAGAGCTGCCCGCCGTCCCCCTATCTGGATGGCAACCAGTGCCCATGGTGACATGTTCTATCTGTTCCCAGGGTTAGCGGTGCCCAGGGTGACATGTTCTATCTGTTCCCAGGGTTAGCGGTGCCCATGGTTACATGTTCTATCTGTTCCCAGGGTTAGCGGTGCCCATGGTGACATGTTCTATCTGTTCCCAGGGTTAGCAGTGCCCAGGGTGACATGTTCTATCTATCTGTTCCCAGGGTTAACGGTGCCCATGGTGACATGTTCTATCTGTTCCCAGGGTTAGCGGTGCCCATGGTGACATGTTCTATCTGTTCCCAGGGTTAGCGGTGCCCAGGGTTCTATCTGTTCCCAGGGTTAGCAGTGCCCATGGTGACATGTTCTGTCTGTTCCCAGGGTTAGCGGTGCCCATGGTGACATGTTCTATCTGTTCCCAGGGTTAGCGGTGCCCAGGGTGACATGTTCTATCTGTTCCCAGGGTTAGCAGTGCCCATGGTGACATGTTCTGTCTGTTCCCAGGGTTAGCGGTGCCCATGGTGACATGTTCTATCTATCTGTTCCCAGGGTTAGCAGTGCCCATGGTGACATGTTCTATCTGTTCCCAGGGTTAGCAGTGCCCATGGTGACATGTTCTATCTGTTCCCAGGGTTAGCGGTGCCCATGGTGACATGTTCTATCTATCTGTTCCCAGGGTTAGCAGTGCCCATGGTGACATGTTCTGTCTGTTCGCAGGGTTAGCAGTGCCCATGGTGACATGTTCTGTCTGTTCGCAGGGTTAGCGGTGCCCATGGTGACATGTTCTGTCTGTTCCCAGGGTTAGCGGTGCCCATGGTGACATGTTCTATCTGTTCCCAGGGTTAGCGGTGCCCATGGTGACATGTTCTGTCTGTTCCCAGGGTTAGCGGTGCCCATGGTGACATGTTCTGTCTGTTCCCAGGGTTAGCGGTGCCCATGGTGACATGTTCTGTCTGTTCCCAGGGTTAGCAGCGTTCCGTGTGTCCCTTGTGGCAGTGCTGCATGGTGGAAGGTCAGAGCAGCCTCTGTGGTGGTGCTCACCTGTACTGCCAACGCAGAGCAGCCTTCTGGCCAGCAGCCCTCCACACAGCGCCCCTGCGTGCAGCCCACAGAAGTGTGCCCACAGAGGTGTCGATCCTTCCCAGCCAGGAGACGGAGCCTGGACGTGTGCCCTGGGAGCAGGAGCCAGCGGTGTGGTGCATGCGTGTGTGTGCTCACAGCACGGACATGTGCCTGGGAGCCAGCGGTGTGGTGCGTGTGTGTGTGTGTGCTCACAGCACGGACGTGTGCCCTGGGAGCCAGCGGTGTGGTGCGTGTGTGTGTGTGCTCACAGCACAGATGTGTGCCCTGGGAGCAGGAGCCAGCGGCGTGGTGCGTGTGCGTGTGTGTGTGTGCTCACAGCACAGATGTGTGCCCTGGGAGCAGGAGCCAGCGGCGTGGTGCGTGTGTGTGTGTGCTCACAGCACAGATGT